CCCCAAAACCCCAAAACCCCAAAACCCCAAAACCCCTATATTACATTAATAAATTGAAATATAAGGCAAAAGAGAAATGGATTATGCACCTGAAGATTTGGATATCAATAAAACATTAAATGTAAGTCTATCTTTTTCTTCTGAGCAATGGGTGACCTGTACATTATATATTTCATAGGTCAACCTTATAAATCTCAAGAGATGAGCTAGAAATGTTCAAAATATTGATTTCAGGCTAAAATATGAAAAATAAACGGCTCAACTGGAACTTAGGAATGTGTAATAAGCCTCAGAACCAAATATATTCGAGAAGCAGAATTGGTCTAAGGTAGGCTCTGATGCTATTTTTATCTAATGATCAGCTTAATTATTACTTAGAGACATCAAAAGTCAATCAGAATCGAGAGTTTACAGTCCAGGTAATCACAGTTGGCGATATTTTAGCTAGCCCAAAATAATCCCAATATTCTCAAGTGGGATGACGATGAGTCATATTATGAATCCTCTGAGGACACTGATGACATGAATAATTATCCTCCTAATACCAGAAATTTATTGTAAGATAGTAAATATTACTCTTAGGAACGATTTGAAACAGAGAGGAAGGCTCCCAAAAAATTTAGAGTTTCTTGCAAAAGCTCAGCCTAAAAGAAGGAAGATAAGGAAAAATTATAGTTTCATGAAGATGTAATTTGGCAATTTTATTAGAATAGATCAAGCCGTAAGTCAAGTAGTGCAAGCTCTGCTTCTCAAGTTGAAACTGATGCTAAAGGGAATCTGCTTCTTAATACAAAAGATGGCAAATAAGTAAGTGGTAATCTTAGAATTTTATATTTGACATTTAATAAGCCCGATTAATTTTAAAATTAAGATTCTTAAGCATTCTTAATGGTATTATCATCACTCCTTATAAATGAACTACCCAAATCTTGTTCTATAATTTGATATCAAATTAGAGGTAATCAGTCAGATATTAACAAGAATAAAATATCATGAAGAGCATTTGGAAGGACTTTTTATCCTTTCAGAAAGGAGAAGCCTAATCTTCCTAAGATCTCTTCCCCTCTGATGTCGCCTAAGGACTACTTCTTTAACGCTCTGCGAACTAGAGAGTTCAAGCAGGAGCAAAACAGGAACCCATTAATTAGCTTTGGCAAGACTTACCATCCTCGCAAGAAAATTAAGAAAAGTAGCTTACACCACTTATGTTGTAGAGAAAGATGTCTTTCACAGGATCAATCTGAACAATAATTTGAAGAACAAAATCACATGCAAAAAGTTCAATATTGTATTACCCATGCTCATGCTGTAGGAAATGAACAGGACTGGGAACAAAGGGATTAATATTAATACTTCCAAGAACAAAGATGTAAAGTCTAGAGGAAATACAAGAAAGAAAGATAGAAAGTAATCTTGTGGTTTAAGGTTAAATAGGAAATATATGAGAGGTGTAAAGTCAGTGTCCCCATTTGCGTTGCAATTGTCGAGAAAGGATATTACTGATGGGTATCCTGTACCTCATGAGGAGAGATTTAATAACAAGTGCAGAGTGCACCAGAAGTTGTATTAGCTTAATTTTTCAACCTGGATGTGGAGAATAGGGGTTTTGGGGTTTTGGGGTTTTGGGGTTTTGGGG